AAAGACCAGACTTACTGGTCTGTCAGAGTCTAGAGAAACCCCTAGAGTATGGCCCCCAGACATCCTTTTAACTCAGTACTGAAGTCACTCCTGAGGATCACTCTTCAGCCAAAGATTAGACAGGCCCATAAAACAAAACGAGACTAAATGAGCACACCAGCCGAGGGGCAAGAGAAGACAGGAGGGGACAGGAAAGCTGGTAATGGGGAACCCCCAAGGTCAAGAAGGGGAGATTGTTGACATGTCATAGGATTGGCAACCGATGTCACAAAACAATATGTGTATTAATTGTTTAATGAGAAACTAATTTGCTTTGTAAACCTTCATCTAAAGTACAAAAAAAAAATTGGCAAAGGATATGAACAGACACTTCACTATAAGAAGACATTAAAAAAAATCACATTCCATTTGTGGAAATGATTATGAAAAATCAATATAATCTAATTTTAATCACCATATTCATTTCAACTAATAGTTAATTTATTTAAATATTCACTTGTACAGGAGCCCCGGTAGGACAGTGATTAAGGCAATCCACTGCTAATTGAAAGGTTGGTGGTTCGAAATCACCAGCATCTCTGCAGGAGAAAGATGTGGCAGTCTGTTTCTGTAGCGATTTACAGCCTTGGAAACCCTATAGGATCGTTATGAGTCGTAATCGACCTGACGGCGGTGGGTTTGGTTTATTTACTTGTATTGGGCTGTATACCAGTAAGTAAATATACCAGTAAGGCTTAATGTGAAATTAGATAACAAGACAGATATGTTAAAACACTGCACTGGGATTAGAATGACAGGATTTCAGATAATTGTGACATTGAGGTCAGGGAAATGCTAAGCAATAAGACGCAGAATCTTGAACTCAACCCCTGTGATTGCAAGGAGAGTCTAGAATGGCCCAAACAGGCTTCTTGGACATGAATATTTAGAAATGAGATTTGAAGGAGAGTAAGGAAATGACTTGACAAATGGAATAATAGAATGTTCTTATTTAACCTAATACAAATATAGTCAAGGCCTGCAGGTGGTATATAGAAGAGTAAACAGTGTGTTAAATATGCTTTCCTATCCTAGAATACAGTTTAGTTAATGACTTTCCACATGAGAAGTAGTTTATTCTCAAAGACTGGAGTTTATTCTGGTTCTGTTAGACTCAGTTCCTTTGTTGTGTGAGTCCAAACACCGAGTTTGATACTCTCAACCCAGATGTACTTGAAAAATTAGAAATATTGTCAAGGTATCTGATATTCTTAAATGGCATAAGGTGTGATACACTGTTCTTATGTCATGTAGGTGGTAGAGTATATGGCTAATGGACTTTAGTTCAGTTATTACCCATGACCTTGTAAAAATTACCTAAACCCTGTAAGACTCAACTTGCACGTCTGTAAAATGGGGATAATAATTACCTCATAAGATCAATTTGAAACAATGTATGTAAAGTGTGTGACCTAGAGTAAGAGTTTAATTAATAATTATTACTTATTACAATTATCATTATTATTACCACCTTATACTGTTTTTTTCTATGCAAGTTTTATCTCGCCTATTACATCATAAGAGCCCTGGTGGCACAGTGGTTAAGAGCTCAGCTGCTAACCAAAAAGTCAGCAGTTTGAATCCACCAGCTGCTCCTTGGAAACTCTATGAAGCAGTTCTACCCTGTCCTATAGGGTCACTATGAGTTGGAATAGACTCGACAGCAACAGGTTGTTGCTGTTTTTGTTATTACTTCATAAGTGCTTTTAAAGGCAGGTCTGTGTCTGATTAATCTGTCTCCTTACAGTATTTAAAACAGTGCCTTTTAAAGATTAGATAATTGTCTACAAATTAAAGGAAAGCAAACCATACACGTGCAAAAAGAAAAAAAAAGCAAAGAATGTTTTAAAATTTCATTTATTTCTAATCATAATTTATAGAGAAATTTTATTATGTACAACTGTACGAAAGAAGTATTTTTTTCAGGAGGAAGAAGATTCTTTCAGAGTTGTTAAGATCTCATAGAGAGAGAGGCGTATGTGTGCAGTGTGTTTGGGATAAATAGACAGGGCTTAGAAAATATCTTAAAGCACTCCGTACAGTATTCTGAGGGTAGTCATGCTTCATTAATGAAACATACGTGTGTTTTGCCTATTTTTGGAACTACTGTGACTTTTCAAAGATGTGTATGTGTTGTGTTATGTTGTGTGTGTGTGTATGTGTTGTGTTGTGCTGTGTGTGTGTGTATATTGTGTTCGGAAAACCAAAACCAGATGCTGTCAAGTAGACTCAAACTAGTGTTTGGAGGGTGTCTTAGTCATCTAGTGCTGCTACAACAGCAATACCGCAAGTGGATGGCTTTTAACAAAGAGAAATTTATGTCTTCACAGTAAAGTAGGCTAAAACTCCAAATTCAGGGCGTCAGCTCCAGGGGAAGGCTTTCTGTCTCTGTCAGCCTTCTCATCAATGTTCCCCGGACTAGGCGCTTCTCTGCATAGGGACCCTGGCTCCATAGGACACGCTCTGCTCCTGGCACTGCTTTCTTGGTGGTATGAGGTCCCCCTGTCTCTCTGCTCACTTCTGTCTGTTGTATCTCAAGAGATTGCCTCAGGACACAATCCAGTCTTATAGATTGAGTCCTGCCTTACTAACAAAACTGCCACCCATCCTCCCTCATTAACATCATAGAGGCAAGATTTACAACATACAGAAAAATCACACAATACCAGGAATCATGGCCTAGCCAAATTGACACATACATTTTTGGGGGGACATAATTCAATCCATGACAGAGGGGTTACAAATTACGATCGTCTGTTAACTGAAAAGTTACTTACTGTTTATTTTCAGGGGCCTGTTAGTGTATCAGAGGAATTTTTCCAGACCATTTCATCTCTTGGGATCTGTTTATTTTTAAGAAAATTGTTTTCCTAGCTCTTTGTACCAAAGCAGATATTTTGCCTTCCGGAACATGGGGATTTCACAAGCATTTACCAGACCAGGTGCAGTGGACAGATTCCCTTTTTGCTGTTTCTCATTCCCGTCTTTTAGAGCTCAGCTGTTATTGTTCCTGCAAAAATGGTAGCCTTAGCAGTGCAATGCACAGGATGTTGTGATTTTGTCTGGACACCGCTGCGTGTTTGCAGAAGAAATCCAGGGTAGAGATCAAACTCGAATTGGGCTTGCAACAGAACATGAGCTATAATTGTGTGAATGTGGACTCAGGCCAATACATTCCTCTGTTCGATCTGGCTGTAGTTAAGAAATCAGACTTCTGGAATTTGTCTAAGCAAATCTCTGACCACTCCACCCATTTCCATCTTTAGGGATGCAATTCTTGATAATCATTATTATGTGCCAGCTACTAAGACTAAGCACTTTGCGTATGCCATTATCTCATTCAATCCTTGTAACAACCCTCTTACGTTATATTTTGTAATCTATATTTATGAAGAAGCTTAGGTTTACAGAGTTTGAGTAATATGGACAAGGTCTCATAGTTATTGATAGAAACAAATTTTAATCATAGATCTGACTCTAAACTTACGTCCTTAACCACTATACTATACCACCTCCTTATTAAATAGAAGGTTGTCAGATATTGAGGGTGTTGAGTTCACATTCTAAGCTTATCCCTAGTTAAGTGTAAAAATGAAAACTAAAAGCAATATAATCTACCTTTGCTTCAGTTTACTCATC